CCACGAACTGCTCTGCTCTACGAGCTGCTCCGCTCCGCTCACCGATCTGTGAGTCACTCCAGCCATCCCGCAAACACCTCCACTCACCATTCCTTCCGTCCCCACAAGGCTTCGCGCCACTTGCTGCTCCTCCAGCCGTCCCCGCAAACTTGCTCCGCCAGCCACTTAGCAGTATAGCTTTAGGCTCCCCCACTATTTAACACAGCACTTAGTGATCTCAGCTCTTAATAACTTTAGCACTTTTGTGATTTTAGCTCATAGTAGGAGAGCCCCAGCACTGGTGCACCATTGGCCCAAAGTGAATTCAGTTCAGCAGCCTGTAACTAGACTCCTAATGGAATCAAAATTAGCTCTGACATTCAACAGTGGAGAGAGGAGATGGTATAATTGGTATTTTGAACCCTCAAAGGGCACCCATACTATCAGGTACAAATACTTGTCCCCATCCTCTCTCCAGTCACTGGGTTTTGTAACCCATGCCCCTTGTCTAGCAAGTGCTACTTAATTACTGGTGAGTCTCTCTGTCATACAACAGTTCCACTGGCCTTGATTCACCTATCAGGGTAACAACAGTTTATTCTTCTTGCCCCAATAACAGAGAAACTGGGGATCCCACACCAGCCAAAGTAACCACTTTCAGTTGTTGTTGTCCCAGGCTAGGCGGGTAGGTGTGCCTATGCAAACAAGGTCAGCCCCTGAAGTTCTTTTCAACCCTGACCATAATTTACCACCAGATGTCAGGGTAGAGCTTATCCTGACTCTGCTTACATGTAGAAAATTGTGTCTGCTGCTGGTGCATATGTATTCTCTCTGCTCTAGATGCACAGAGATGGTGGAGTGCTGTGCTGGAGGAAGGAGGGCACAAGAGACATAACAGGCAGGCAGGAGAAAAGGTGAGAGGGAATAAAAGAAAGCAGCAGGAGCTGCAGGGAGAGAGAGGAGGAGGAGCCTCTTATGTACCTCTCTAGCACCCCCAGGAGCCTGGACTGATTAACACCAGCTTCTCAGGGAGCTTCCTGTTTCCTGCTGCTTCCCTGAACCCACTTGAGGAGAACAAGCAGTCAATTGACGTAGTAGGAACCAGTTAGGTCCTTAGGATGCTGATTTCTTCCCTTACTCCGGCCCTGCTACCAGCCTGCTTATTTGTACCCTTCAATTGTGTGTTGAGATCCACTATAGCTGGCATATAACAGCAGTCATGAGTGAAAGAAGAAAACGCCCCTCTGGAGCAGCATTCAGAAAAAGAAAGAAAGCAAGGGAAGCTTTTCTATCTAAGCAGGAAGGAGCTCTCCTGAGATACATAGACACAAATGTTCACGGTGAGCTTTCCGTTCCCAGTGAGGATGTGAGTGGTGAGAAGATGCTGGATCTTCCACTTAGCCAGAGTGCAGGTTACCTGGCAGCTACTGCAGCATCCATATCGCCATCTCAAATGGATGTAACCATGCACATTCCTGAAGAAAAGTGTAGATCAGAGAAGAGTGTAGTGGAGGCAAAAGAAACAGCTACTGCTGAGTTTAGTTCCTTAAGTCTAGATGATCCAGGATTGTGCACCCACTTGAGCAGTAGCCTGAGGGACTTCCATGTACTGCATGAGCCACAGCAAGTGAAAAACTTCATGTTCCCCAAAGACAATGAAAATAAAAGTTTCCATCCAACACATTACTGGCGTGAAATCCCCAATGGTGACAAAGTGGAGAGGCCATGGCTTATGTACTCAAAAACCCAGAATGTTGCATACTGTTTTTGTTGCAGACTCTTTCAGTCTAATGTTCCAGACACATTGGGTTCTACAGGAACAAAGGACTGGAAAAATCTGGCTAGAAATCTGGCATGCCATGAGAAGGCAGCAAATCACCAGAGAGCATTCCATAGGTGGAAAGAGCTTGAGATGAGACTAAGGTTAAAGGCCACCATATGTGATCAGCATCAAGGCAAGATTGCATCAGAGTCTCTTTACTGGCAAAATGTTCTGAAAAGGCTCATTGCCATTGTGAGAATGCTTGCTACCCAAAACCTAGCACTGTGTGGCACTTCAGATCAGTTGTATGTGCTAAACAATGGAAACTTCCTTAAAATTGTGGAGCAGAGTTTGATGCTGTACTGCAGGAACATCTAAGAAGAGTCACTGCCTAGGAAATGTACATACACCACTACCTTGGAAAAACAATTCAAAATGAGATCATACAGTTACTGGCAACAAAAGTCAAACATAAGATTGTGGCACATCTGAAGTCAAGAAGATATTACTCTGTTATTCTGGACTGCACACCTGACATCAGCCATATGGAACAAATGACTCTAATGGTGCTTCTTGTAACAACAACAGAACCTAGTGAAAATGTCCCTGCAATGGTGACTGTTAGAGAGCATTTTATAGAACATATTGACATTGATGATACTACAGGAGCTGGTAGAACAAATGTGCTTCTT